CAAAAAAATCAAAAACTTGACATTTTTCCGCTTTTTTAGATAAATTTATCTACAATTTAAGTAATAATTAATAGCTCTTTTCCCTGTTGTAAGTCTATATTTAACGATTAAAGTATAGTTATGCAATGACAAATATCCAGATTAGCGAATACAAAAGATAATAGGTAGAGAACAAACATTCCATTATGCATATATCATCTGTTACAGTGTCAATAACACAATGCATTTACAGAATTGTAGACATATGAGAATATTATGCTAATGGAATAGAGAAGAGCAGGAAGCATCATCATCATATGTGATGCTGGAGAGATGAACAGCATAGCATCTTTATCCTTTTGATCTTAGATAACAGATTTATTTAAGGGTATAAAAATTGTAGAATAAGTATTTTTTAATCATTTAGTTGTATTATATTGCATTGTATTGCATTCCAATTGCTCTAAACTTAGTTTTTTTTTCTTTACACTTCTTCCTCTTACTTTTAAGTGTCATCATTCACAATTCAGTTTGTCTGGAAAGAGAAATTGTGTTGTCATTGCTGTTTTATATAAGAATTTCTTAGATATAAAAGTAATAAACAGTAAATAAAAAATTCCTGTATATTTTTTATNTATTTTAGACAATTAGGGATATATTTTAGACAGTTAGGGATATATTTTGGACAATTAGTAATGTATTTTAGATAACTGTAAAAAAGTAGTGATACATTTGGACAAGTGATGATGTAGTTTGAATAATTCTAAAAAATTAAAGATACACTTTGGATAATTATTTTGGATAACTTAATAATCGTTATTATTGAGATTTATCTAAAATATTCTAAATAAATTAAAAACTAGTGATATATTTTATATAACTAAAGAACTAATTATTTATTCTAGATACATCATTAATTATTTAGATTTATTGTGGATACATCTAAATAATTAATGAAGTATTCTTTACATACTTAAAAAATTAAGAATTTTTGAAGTATAAAAAAAAATCACTAAATTTTATTTATTTTTTTTTTTTTTTGATTACTCAGTATATTGTATTAATTACTAAAACATTGAATTGCTAATTTTTGGATAACCAATTTTATTTTATTGTTTAATTGCAAAAATTAAAATTTCTTCGCTAATTTATTCTTAGATAATTTTCTGAATATCATTTAATAATGCATTTTATTTATTACTTATCGAATTACTTATCCAAGTTAGAATTTGTTATCCAGAAAACTTCTAATTTTATGCACAATTGATTCTAATTTTTCAGTTCTAATTCCAATTTTTCTGTACAAGTTAATTATTAATTTAATTAATCAAATTATTCACGAAAAATACTCAATTTTTGAATAATTAATTCAATTGTTTAGATAAATAAAATCTTAATTTAAAAAAAAAAATGAAAGAAAATTTTTGCGCATTCGAACATCTTTGGATCGATAATTAATTAAATAATTTTTAGAATTTTTCTGTAATTAACTTTTTAAAAAATAGATATTTTGAGGTAACAAATTTAAAATATTTTTCTCAAAAAAAGAAAAGAAAAATTGAAAGAATTCTTTTAAATTTTTATCAACTTATAAAATCGCAAATTTCATTAAGAAAAAATATTATTATTATTAGGAAAGAAAATTAATTTTAAAGATATCGAATTTTTTTATGAGATAAATAAATAAATATTTATAACCGATTTAATAATAAGTATTTAAAATAGGTACTTGTAGGAATCAGTAATTTATAAGATGTTTTTCTCTCTTGAAATCTTGTTGCTAAGCAACGTAAAGATCTTTCCGTCATCCCAAACAATTTCTAGATAGGTTTGTAAGAGAAAAATTGATGATTGCCTCTTCCCATATTCGTACCTTTTCCTTAGTTTTCTTAGAAAAATCCACACACAAAAAAAACATATTAAAAAAAATGCAAAAAATCCACTAAAGTAGAAATCTCAATATTCTAAAAAGGAGCAAGTCTATAAAATTATTCTTTTAATAAAATTGCACTTTAAATATAAATACGTATGGACTGATTTTGGGATCTTTCTTTTTAATATAGAAATTATATTTTTAAATCTAAAAATTTATCTTAAAATGATAAATTGTATGTAATTTAGTTTGGATAAATGTGTGTAGTGAGGTATGCTGGATAAAACTTTAGTGATGTATTTTAGACAATTAGGGATATATTTTAGACAGTTAGGGATATATTTTGGACAATTAGTAATGTATTTTAGATAACTGTAAAAAAGTAGTGATACATTTGGACAAGTGATGATGTAGTTTGAATAATTCTAAAAAATTAAAGATACACTTTGGATAATTATTTTGGATAACTTAATAATCGTTATTATTGAGATTTATCTAAAATATTCTAAATAAATTAAAAACTAGTGATATATTTTATATAACTAAAGAACTAATTATTTATTCTAGATACATCATTAATTATTTAGATTTATTGTGGATACATCTAAATAATTAATGAAGTATTCTTTACATACTTAAAAAATTAAGAATTTTTGAAGTATAAAAAAAAATCACTAAATTTTATTTATTTTTTTTTTTTTTGATTACTCAGTATATTGTATTAATTACTAAAACATTGAATTGCTAATTTTTGGATAACCAATTTTATTTTATTGTTTAATTGCAAAAATTAAAATTTCTTCGCTAATTTATTCTTAGATAATTTTCTGAATATCATTTAATAATGCATTTTATTTATTACTTATCGAATTACTTATCCAAGTTAGAATTTGTTATCCAGAAAACTTCTAATTTTATGCACAATTGATTCTAATTTTTCAGTTCTAATTCCAATTTTTCTGTACAAGTTAATTATTAATTTAATTAATCAAATTATTCACGAAAAATACTCAATTTTTGAATAATTAATTCAATTGTTTAGATAAATAAAATCTTAATTTAAAAAAAAAAATGAAAGAAAATTTTTGCGCATTCGAACATCTTTGGATCGATAATTAATTAAATAATTTTTAGAATTTTTCTGTAATTAATTTTTTAAAAAATAGATATTTTGAGGTAACAAATTTAAAATATTTTTCTCAAAAAAAGAAAAGAAAAATTGAAAGAATTCTTTTAAATTTTTATCAACTTATAAAATCGCAAATTTCATTAAGAAAAAATATTATTATTATTAGGAAAGAAAATTAATTTTAAAGATATCGAATTTTTTTATGAGATAAATAAATAAATATTTATAACCGATTTAATAATAAGTATTTAAAATAGGTACTTGTAGGAATCAGTAATTTATAAGATGTTTTTCTCTCTTGAAATCTTGTTGCTAAGCAACGTAAAGATCTTTCCGTCATCCCAAACAATTTCTAGATAGGTTTGTAAGAGAAAAATTGATGATTGCCTCTTCCCATATTCGTACCTTTTCCTTAGTTTTCTTAGAAAAATCCACACACAAAAAAAACATATTAAAAAAAATGCAAAAAATCCACTAAAGTAGAAATCTCAATATTCTAAAAAGGAGCAAGTCTATAAAATTATTCTTTTAATAAAATTGCACTTTAAATATAAATACGTATGGACTGATTTTGGGATCTTTCTTTTTAATATAGAAATTATATTTTTAAATCTAAAAATTTCATTTACATAATCGGATTTTTTAAAATTTATTATTATTATTATTATTTTTTAATTCTTAAAAAATTTAGGATTCCAATGATATGATTTATGATTCTCCATTAATTTTATACATAAAAATTGTTGACTTTTTTAGAGAGTTAAATACGAAAATACTAAAGACAATTTTAAAATTAAACTTTTTTTAAAATTTTGTAGTTTTTTAAAAGATTTTTCTAATAATTAACTCGTGTATAAATTCTATATTTTTAAATATAAAAATTCTTCCAAAAAATTCAATTTTTCTCTAAAAAATCTACGCAATTATTGCGATTTTTTTAGAATTTCCGATCTAGAATTTTCCAATAAAATGATTTATAATTCTCTATAAATTATACGCATAAAAATTGCTTTTCTGGGGGATTAAATATAAATTTCTTACATTGTCTTCAAGAAGAATTAAATGAAACTAATTTGATATTTAAATTCAATTTTAAAAATGAAAAATATTTCAAAAAGTTGAATTTTTAGAGAATATTTCTAATAATATAAATCGCGTATAAAAATTATACTTTTAAGTCTAAAAAAAAAATCTAAAAAATTCAAAGTCTTTGCAATAAAATGATTTGCTATTCTCTCTTAATTTTATATGTAAAAATTGGTATTTATTAGAATTAAATTTTAAAAAATAATAGTTGAATCTAAATTTCTTAATTATTCTTCAAGACAAGGAAAAAAAATTAATTTAATTTTTAATATTTAAAAAAAAATTCAAAAAATGTTATTTTGGGGTAAAGAAATATTTTTAATGATATAAACTCGTATATAAATAATTAATATCTAATGATTTAAATATGTAAATTCGATTTTTTTTGAATTAATTAAATTCAAAAAATGTAATAATTTCTCTACAAAATTTTTATAAATAAGTTTTTTCGATAAATTAAATTTTTAAAAAATTTGATAAAATTAAAAGGAATGAATTAATTTTTTCTCCTTTGATGCTAATGTAAATTGAGTTTAAAAAATTGCATTTTTGTTTTTAAATTTTAATGGAGATTTTTAGATCTTTTATGGAGTTCAGGACTTTACGAGTAATTAATGATGATTTTTCTTTATTTTTCATTTAAAAAAAACCTTCTAATTTATAATAAATTAGTCCAAAGTTTAATATGATAATAATGTATCATTCTCAANTTTTATTACTTTATCATTTTAATGTTGTTAAAATAAATTTTTAATATGTTCGTGTTTCTCTCATTTGAATAAAATTCCAGAAGATGAATGAAGAGGGATGAGAACGTGCAGCATACACACAGACACGCGCGCGTATTTAATCTCACCTGCGACATTTACCTGGTGATGACGTCAGGAATTTAACTCATAATATTTTGCTTCAATAAAAAATCAATTAATATAACGAAGTTCGTTTATTTCAATTTTATCGAAACATTCATAGGGATGAACCAACTGCAGAGAAGCTAGTGAACGCATGCTCACAAACGGTTCCGGTTACACGAGATTGATACAACGAGGTACAAGAGCAGTCTACATGCTGGGCAGGACCCACTTCGTCGGGAGGGATAACCGGCTGTGTGACGTCACTGGCTAACAGAGCACGAATATCTATAACGTACAGGCTGTTTATCGGGTCGACGTTATGTCGAATTGATCAGATGGAAACTTGAAGATTCCACGAAGAATCATGCCGAGGAGACGAATTACTATAGTTTATCTATCGTGGAATTGTTTGTTAACTTTAGCTTGTTATAAATATCCCTCAGATATGAAAGACCCGTGCCAGGAGAAGGAGTGCAACTATGGAGCCCAGTGTAGACCATCTCTAGATGGTAGGACTGCAGAGTGCGTGTGTCCTGCCAAATGTGCCACTTATGGTGACAGTCGTGGTTCTAGACCGGTTTGTGGTACCGATGGTAAAGATTATCCAAATGTCTGCGAATTGAGAAGAACTGCTTGCAGAGAAATGCGAAATGTTCAAGTGAAATTTCAAGGAAAATGCGGTGAGTTCGACTAATCTCGTTAAATTTGTTATTTTAAGGAGCGATCTAGAATAAGAAAAAAAGAAGGAAAAATCTAGAAAATTCCAATGGGATTCGAATAATATTTTTTAATTAGAAAAACCGAAATTTACTTCTTTCTTTTCAATTTTAAATAAGTTTTTAAATAATATATTCCTCTTTGGCTGCTTTCCAGTTTGTTGTTATTGCCAGTTTAGGTGAGAAGTTTAGTAAGATGAATTTATTAAATTTTTTACAAAATTTAAAAAGAAGTTTATGTAAAATTTTAATTCTGATAATGAACTCTTGCAGTTTTTTTTAATTATATTGCCTGATTTTAATTCCAGTAAAGTAGATTAAGTTTGTTTTGGGGATAATGTATAAAAATGTCTGAAGAAACGATTATATAAAGTAGAAAATTGGAGATAATAATTGCTAATAACTATTATCTCGTAAGTAAATGCATTCTAAAAAATTCTTATTATATACTTATCCAATAATTGTGTTATTAATTATATAAAATCATCTCCTTTCTCTAACGTTTATTATTATTTTTTTTGTATAAATATTTAATTATTTTTTTTATTAATTTTTTTTCCTTTCCACTTACATCACTCGATTCTATTCACGTGGAAAATTTAATATCTGTCACTGACAGAAAATTTTGCTATTTTATATACTAAATGCTAAGTTAATATTAATATTAACAATATGAAAGCGAATATTGTACAGTGTGCTATGTAATCTCTTTCAAGATTTGTGAGTCGAGAAAGGCGAAAGTATTTAAATGACCTAGAAATATTGAAAATATTATATTTTCTAAGTAATCCGGTTATGTTAAGGTTGATTGCTCTCTGTTTAGTACAGCTATTAACATTTTATTTCTCAATAGATAGTCGGATAATAATAAGTCTTTCGTTTGGTAGCTTCACTGCAATACTTTGGACATTAAAGGAGAAGATACATTTACAGGGTTAAGTTAAAAATTTAATGCATCGTGATAAACACGATTCTCTTTAAAGCTATAATTATTTCTTTAAATGTGAAGAGAGTTGTAAAATTAAAATTGAAAATAATAAATATTTAAAATATATTAACTTTAGAGTTTATTAACTATTAATTATTTTTATACGTCTTCGAGAAGTTATGAGTTATTTATCGATTGAACATTTTAACAGGTAGTTAGTTATAAAATAACTTTTATTAATTTCTCAACGCTGGATTTCTTTTTTCTTTTTTTGATAAAATATAAAATATGCATTATTTTAACGTATCTAGATTAGAAAAAGATAAAAAAATAATAATGTAAAACTTTAAATACATAAAAAATTCGATATGCAAAATTTATTTTCAATTTTTATGAATAGATCAGCATAAATGTAACAATTTTTCGATAAAATTATAGAATCTATAAATATTTTAAAACGCATTTCTTTGGTTTTAATATTCATCTGCGGTCTTACAAATTGAACAATCCTTTATATCGTCAAACACAGCCAACAACGATCAATGCAATCTCTTTCACTAACGCAACTCCAACTTTTTGTCTCATTTAGCAGGATTAGATAGAATATCCTGCAAAAATCTCTGGAAATAGATATAATAGATATTTGTCAGATATTGCTAATGCTTCCAACTAATGGAAATGTCCAAATATGTTCTGGATATACCTTGTTAACTGTAAAAGTATCTTGTTTTATCAAAACTTTGTTACCTTTAAAATAGAAAATCGAGTCGATTTTCTAAATTTCATTTATCGATATCGAATTTTTTTTAATGTTTAATGTTTAATTCTCTCATCTAAATGTTTAATTTTATCTTTTAAGTACTCAATTATTTATAGATCCGTGCGAAGGAGTAGAGTGTCCCGCATCTCAGGTGTGTCAATTAGACGAAAACAGAAATCCCATCTGTCGTTGCAATGCTATCTGTTCACCAGATTTCAGACCAGTTTGTGGTTCTGATGGAAAGACTTATACTAATGAGTGTTCACTTAGAGTAGAAGCCTGCAAATCACGAAGAAGTCTAAGGATCATATACACTGGCGAATGTAGTTCAGGTAAATTTCTCTTCCGAAAACTAATTTGCCAAATGTACAAAGTAACTCTTAAGCTATAAACTGATTCCTAGCGGTTATTATCATTAAAAGGGTAAGAGAAAATTGTTATTATTATAATTATTCTCTGCCTTTTAATCTCATTTTCTTTTCGTATAATGACCTGAGAGTTATGATTGACGTCTTATATCCGTTTTGTCGCAAATTATCGCACGAGTGTTGAATTTCATTCAATCGCGTGACAAACAAAGCTCTTTCATGCACGTGACTTACACAATTCCTCAACATGAATGATTGGTTTGGTTAGTACATGTTAAGCAAATATGGCACGAGGAAAAAGTCCTGTCTCACAGGCAATAAGTATTTTTATCCTTATATTCTATTTTAATTTACTTTGTGAATAAATATCTACGTATCCATCTATTCTATAAGCTACAAAAAATAATACTAATAAAGTAAATCTAACAAATTTTATTAAAAAAGTACAATAAAGTAATGGTGTTTTGGAGAAATACAATTATTTAGATGGCAATTTTTTAGACGATTTCTCTAACTCCATCATTCATAACAGAATAAAATATTACTAAAAATATAAAGCAGAAAATAATATTTCCAAAGGTAGAAGACATTATATGATATATATATATAGATATATATAGATATAATATATAGTTACTAGGAAAGATATAAAAATTGATGAATTTAGTTATATTAATAAAGAAAAATAGCGAATTCATCCGAATAAATATATAATCTACTTAAGGTAATTATTAATAATATATCCTTATATCAGATATATCATTATTAGAATGTCCGAGTTTAATTAGGAGATATTATTATGCTTTGAATTATTTTTCTTCTGTCATTTCTGCAGTATTTCTAGAAACAAATGAGGCCAATATATTGTTTCACGTTATAACCTTTTCGACATTCTTTGCCAAATTAGAATTTGGTCTCTCGGGATATTTTCAAAACTTTTCTCTATTGAAAAAAGTAGATTAATAAAAATGATAGCCAATTACTCTTACATTACGACGTCGAATTAAAGGAGTAGTTTACCTGTTTTTACTCAATTAATGCGGAATATTTATGTGTTTCTTTAAGAGTAAACACAGACTAAACATGGCAAAATGCCCAAATTTGTCAAGGAAAGAAATTACAAAATTCTTTTCTAACACTTTCTCTACTTTTTTCCCTTTAACATTCTCTTAAACAACATAGGATTTGTTGTGTTTCTTCATTGAAAATTTTTTCCTTTATTTTGGAAACAACACTTCTTAGAGTTGACTTGAAATTTTTTTATGTTGTGATATTGTGGAAAGTAATCGATAACTATGAATGAATGTTGCTCAAATCTTACAAATTGTTTAGTAAATATTTGCAGTGTATTAAAGTAAGTATTTAAAACTTGCGAATTTTCGGATGAAGTATGGTGAAAAGAATCGATTAAGCAACAAATTATTTGTAATTTTTTTTTTCGATCTTGATTAAGAATGATCGATTGATTGAAGATGCTAAACAGTCAAGATAATTTATCTTCGTTATTTCCGCTTCGTGCTATCTAGTCTTCAATTAAAGATCTTCAGTCTTCATTGCTTTTATCAACTTACTCTTTTAGAGACGTCCATTCTTATTTCTCTTACATTTTAAATAATAATTCCATATCTTCACGTTAATCTTATCCTTTAAAATCCTATCTAACAGTTACACTTGACATATTCACCGATTATTATATTCATTTTTATGAAAATCTCTATAATAAACGTAGAGAAGATGAAAAAATTTTCAGTATTTTACAGAATTTTTGATCATTATAACGTCTTTCATACTAGAAAAATTGTTATTTATGTACAATATAAGTTAGAACAAACATTAGAGTATAATGTATAAGAAGAGAGAAGAAAATAAGAATAAATTCGTGATGATTATATTTTATATTTTTTTAAAAATAGTATCATTCATCCGTAAATATCCGGAAGGTTTCGTGATAAAAATGACATTAATGTTCACAAAAGTTGCATTGATATAAACAAACTCCTATAAAAATCATTCATACAGAATTAAATATATTCGTTGACACATTGAATGATTTTTGCTTATAGGAAAAAAATGTTTATTTGTGTTTAAATTTATCTACTACTCGGAATAATTCGATTTTTATTTATATTCAATAAAAAAATATATTTTATATATTACATCTATGTAAACATCTTTTATGTAATATTTATTCTTTGTTCAAAGTAGATAAGAAAGGATGCGGATGCTGTTAAGGGACTATTCTAGCTAACAAAATATTCATAGGTTACTTTTAAAGCGATAAATTCGATTTTTATATTTAAATTTTTTATAAAAATGCATACATATAACGTTTTTTAGATTACTTAAAATACGAATAAACTCTAAATATAATTATATTTTCTTATTTATTTATAAATAACAGTTAACATACGTTTTTACTATATATTTTATTATTTAAATGTTACTTGAATACAAAATTGGATGTGTATACAAACACATAAATATTTGTTTAAAGGAGGGGGGAAAAGAACAGAGTAATATATACATTATATAAATTTTCCAAAATTAAATTTAGTATCTTTCCATACATCAAGAAAATGCTTTTAAAATTAATTATGTTTTGTATTCAAAAAACTTTTAAAAATGTATCCAAAAAAAAACAAGAAAGAGATAACCAAACTAATAACTAAAATAGTAAGTTAACTGCAGTACAGCACCTGATATTAAATTACCATTATGGATGCATCTGTTCCTCTCTGTATCACATTAGGGAAATGATAGACATGTTAGAAAATTGTCTAATCTTAACTTCCGTTTTCTAACCGCATTCATTTAGCTTATCCGTTTTCTGGTCGATTTAAGTTACTTTTTTTTATTATTTTTCTTTGCTTCATTGGTGATTTTTGTATATGCTTTCTCCTTTGCCTCTTCTTCTCTCGCTCTCTCTCTTTACTGAAGGATTCCCACGAGTTTCCAGACTTAAATTACAAAATTGTTCAGCTCCGATGAAGCTATTCAATTTGTTTAACTTTTAGAAGTTTAACTTTCAAAGTATTCGCGTCTTAATTTGTGTATGACTTAAACTTTCTTTATGTTTTTTGGTATGAGTATCTTTGTGTAACTTTGGAAAAGTCCGAGAATATAAAGAAAAGTTGTTTTGTATAATTTTACACGTTGTATTTTAAATATTTTATGGATAAATCCAGGTTTATTTATCTTAAAGGATTATCTAAGTTTAGAAAATTTAAAGAAAGATTCTAAATTTAAAGTATTTTAAGATATAGAAAAGTTCGAATATTTTTAAAATATAATCCCCAAAATGCTCGTGTTTAAATATATTAAATTAAGAGATAATTCAAGTTTAAATATTTAAAAGGTGCATATAAGCTTAGTTACAGAATCATCTGAGAATTTAAATTAAGAAGCAGACCAAGTTCTGAATTTTAAGTGAATAATCCAAGCTTAAATACTTCAAGTCAAATTCTATCCAAGTTCAGATGCGGCAAGAGCAAAATCCAGATCTTTTAAATGGATAATTCAAGTTTTGAGGCTTGGAATTTGGATTATCCCTTGGAGTTCAACGGATTTAATTCAAGTTTAGCTACTTTAAACGTCAATCCTATTTAAATATTAAGGGATTATTAAGTCGAAATATTCTAAGAAGGCTTCTAATCTTAAATATAGATCAAATCATGTAGAGAATTTGAGTTAAGAAGCGGGCCAAATTCAGATATTTTAACGAAGTATCTAACTTCGTGTTTAGAATTTTAATATTTTTAAGGATGCTGACACGTAAATTATGTTTTTTTTTCTTCTAAAGTTAAAAATCTGCAAAAACGTCAAAGAATTTTGATTATTTTTTAAAGTATCTCAAGAAAAAAATTATTTAAACGACAAAGCTAATGACTAATTACTTCGGATTCATTATTACAATTTTTTAAAAGTATTCTATTTTTCGTTGCATCACAAAAAAGAACAATTGCAACGGAAAAGATTTAATGAAATCTGTATCAAAACAGAAATTATCGAACCGAAAAATCTAAAAAAATTAACATAATTATTTATGAAAAGAGAAAATGACAAATCGAATTATTCATCATATCTTTTTTAAAGTATACATTCGAAATATATTTATATAATTATAATATTTTATAGTCAGATTACTGTATAAATCTGAATTTCCTTCAAGGATTTTTTAAAGAAATTTTCGAAAAAATATAAAATATACATAAAATAATCTTATATTTATGAATAGAGTTGCTATAAAAGTATCGTTTTAGCAAATATAAATAGCGAAAATAAGATGCCATTAAGTGAGAAGATCTTATCCCTCAACAAGTAGATCGCGAACTCCAACGTTCTATTATGTATAATGGAGTCAGCGTGTTGAAAGGATAAAGGTTGAGGAATTTACCGAAACTCAATTATTTTTAATTTAATTAAAATATAAACTGATTTATGTTGTAAATAATAATAGGCGCGTTATTATAAATCGATTTTAATGAAAATATATAAACACAATAAAGAAAATAATAACTTTTACTGGGGCATTGTTGTATTTTCTGATGCGAAACAACCTGTTTTGGCAATTTCATCCGAAGGTGGAAGCTCGAACAGACAAAAATGATTTGTAGACGAAAGAACAATTCTTTCTTCGTCACGAGGAAATCATAAATTTTTTTTTATTTATTAAATATTTCTGATTGAAGACATAAAAATGAAACTATCGTAGGTTACATTCTATTAATAAACTATATATTACTTATATATATTGTATGATTAATGAAATAAAATTATTCCACTTCAGAAATGCTACTGATGATGCTGGTGCTAGAAAATTTTTATTCGAAAAATTGATGATAGATGAAGCTACAACAAGATTCTACCCATAATATAACAGAGTTATGACGAACGATCTGTCATTGTTAATATATGGATACGGTTATTTACAAGCTCCTTCACGAATTTCTTAGAAATTTTTGATGAAAAAATAAAATATACATGTATAGATCTTGTACATCTAAGTAAAAATGCTACAAAATTATCTCTTTAATAATATATATAATAATAATAACGTCACTATATAATAAGAGATAATTTTCAAGATTTACTTTTTCAACTAGTAGAACGCGAACGCCTATTCTCTATTTTATATAATGATAGCATTACAAAAGTTGAGAAGTAATCCGGAGACTTGGTTTTTCTTTTATAAATCAGATGTTACCGTAATTAATAATAAGTGCATTGTGAAGATAATTGACTTTAATGAAAACATTATACAGTTAACGAGCATAATAAAGAAAAATATAACTTATATTTACAGATAACTAAACCTTTTGATTATATTTATCTACGAATTACACTTGAATAATAACTCAAGGGATTAATAGGAAAATGTCTAGTTATTATCAAGCAATCACACTTATCGAAATTATACCTTTAAAATAGTTAATTATAATAATTAACTTAATTGCTTAGTGTTTATATCCAATATATTATCATTTATCTAAGACATTTTATCTTTTAATACATAAAATTATTATGGAAATTGCATTTATACTAAAAGACGAATTTAACAAATGTTTAATTTATTATCATTGGAAAGACAATTATCACGGTACATTTCGACAAATTTGATTATCGTCAAAGCAAAATCTGATTATCTTCCATTCTTTATTACGCTATTAATTATCTCTCATCCCAGTTATCCTCTCCGATCAATGCCTTAACAAAAGGTAACATTATAAAGATAAACGTTGATTTTTCTTTTAAAAAATTAACACGTTTATCATACGAAAAAATGTTTAAATAATAGTCTGGAATTATTCGAATGGTTGGAAACTGCCAATTACCCGCTTATTTACATTATTTTCTTCAATTAAACGGTCTCATTCAGACATCTGCAGTTGTTAGAATTCCTCTCTTCTAGTCAACATCACGAGAAATATATTGGATTCTTGCCAATATTGAAATCCTGCAACCGACTATCATTAAAAATTATTCGATATTTTAGCTTTAAGTCCTATATAAAAATTGTTTTCTGCACCGGTTATACAATATTTAATAGGGCGTTAGATTCAGTTTTACTATCCTTTCACCATCCGAGCATCAGGAGAAGAGATGAGAGAGAGAGAGAAGAGTATAAGAAAAACGAAGGGAACGTAAGCTATTGGGTAATGGATCTAGTCCTCTGGAGATCCTATAGGATTTATTCTCTAGAGAATTCCATCTATTGGTATCGACACACCTTATCTTGCTTCATTCCTCTATTTTCATTTCTGGGATCTTTTCTAACTTTGCCATATCTGTAAAAATTGCTTTGGACTAGCATCTTTCATATATCACTAGGAATCTATTCTTTTGCTTAAACCCCAAGACTTTATTTTACCTGTCATCAGTGACAAGAAGTAAAAAATCTTTTATCTTATATCTAAAAAATAAAAAAATATATAAAAATCTTGTAGGAAGATGATGGAAATTTAGGATAAATTTGATATAACTGATTTCACTTTAAAAAAGAAAAATAACTTTTGTCAGTAGAGAAAATTTCTCCTTTCATCATCAAAAAATACTCTCCTAGACAAGTCGATTTTTTAGAATTCTATAAGTATTTATACACTTTATAAACTTAAAAAAATTAAAATTTTTTATTTATTTTCCAACAAAGCTAAGATTAATATTTATCTTAAAAAACCATAATATAATATATTTTTATTTTTGTTTTTAATGCAGTTAGCTGGATTTATTTATTATTAAATCGAAAGTTTTAAATATAATAATAACGTTGTATTTGAAATGTAAATTTAACAAATCTCCAAGGTGTAAATATTGATTTATTTTTTGATAATTTGTATAGAATTTTTTAAGTTAAATGCAGGAATTTGAATTTATTTTTTATTAAATTCGCATGAGAATAATATAAGTAACGAGTATAGCTTGTATAATTTAATTTATTTGACGTAAAAATAATTATTAATTTTTCATTTTTACAATGCCTATAATTAGAAAATAGTTGGATATATTTATATAAATGATAATATAACTAATTTTTCTTTATTTTTTATATGAAATTCCGCATGTTTTTTGAATGCATCTCACCTCCATATTTTGTAAGAAACGTACTAGCTCTATTTTAGCATTCCGTTTATTGAACCAAGGTGCCAATCCGTGTGAGAATCTGCAATGTGGACCAGGACAGGAATGTGACATAGACAGGTATGGCATTGCCACCTGTCAGTGCCCCGGAGCGTGCGAACCAGTCATGAGACCCGTCTGTGGCACCGATGATAGAACCTACGATAGCCAATGCGAATTGAGAAGACAATCGTGCGTCATGCAACAACCCGTTTCTATGGATTACAGAGGAGTGTGTGGTAAGTTTTGTGACGTAATAAAATAAAGGTGAGAAGTATGATGACGTATTTTACATATATTCTTTGCCGGCCAATGAAGGTTAAATGTAGGAATTTTGAATTTGACGTTTACTTCACTATCTGGAAGAGGAGAGAATTGCCCAGATTTTTCTGACACCGCTTGACTTCTGAATTGCAAATGGCGATACTTCTCTATCCTATTTTGCAAATCGTTGCAATTTATAAGCCGTCTGTATCTACTTTCCGGTTAGTTTAAACTAAACCACAAAAAAAATCTACGAGAAAAAGAGGATTTTCTTCGGTTTTTAGAAAAATCCAAATCTTCCTGAATATAAAAGAAAGAATAAATTTGCGGCTCTACCTCCTAAGATCAGTTATTATTCTCCTTATTCCCTTTATAAGCTGCATCAAAATGTTGATGTCCTATAAATATAACATCGTTTAGAAAGCTTCGTATGCGAAACATATTGCTACAGTTGTGGCATCATTCAGATAACTTCCGTACACTCTATCATTCAGGTAGCTTCATATGTGCTACGTATTACTACAGCATCATTCAGATAGCTTTGTATGCTCTACACATCACTAAATATTGCATCATTTAGGTAATATCATAAGCTCTAAATACTACATGTGCGGATCATTCAGGTAGTTTCGTATACGCTACAAATTACTACAGAGGAAACGGTGGCATAGATGACTTCTAGAAGGCCAGAGTTGAAAGAGAGGAAAAAAATCTAATGCGAAAGATATTTAATTATTTAAAACACTCATCAAAGTTAATTATATTAAAATATCTCGCGCTTTATTATGATTAAAATGTGTTACGTCAATAGAGCTGAAGGTAATCTTCAAATTTTCCAGGTGAGGACGGTGCTTGTCAGAAGCACATTTGCGATTTTGGAGCCGTGTGTACAATACAGTCGGGTCGAGCCGAGTGCGAGTGTCCTTCTTGTTCGGAAGAATTTCAACCCGTGTGTGGCACCGATGGCATCTCTTATACTAACGAATGTAAACTAAGAAAAGAAGCGTGCGAACAAAGAAAGGATATTAAAATTGCTTACAGCGGCTTGTGTAGTGAGTATTTTCTTTAATCATTTTAAATAAAATCCTTTACAAGTAGAACTGATGCAATCAATTTTCACATTAAAGGTGTTGAATTAGTTGGTGTTGGAGCGTAAAAGGTCTTGCTTTTTTCATTTTTTTAATTACTTCTAAAATAATTTTAAAGAAATTTTTATGATCTTTAATCCCTTTTGGATGTCGTGCACTAGCTTCAAATTGTATCCTTTCAAGATAAAATGTTTGGAAAACAGCTTAACGTTTAAAATTCTGTTAAGGTTTACCTTGGTTTTGCTATTCTTCTAGTGTTCCCAACTCACTTTGCTGATTGACCACCTTTAAAAACTATCAAAAAACACAAAGTTTTACTCATTTTCTCATAAAATTTGCTTTACTTTTTTAACGTCCAGCAGCTCGCTCACATTTTTTTTCCTTTTTTATTTTCTTACTTTTATTATTCTTTTCGGAAATTTATCCCTTAATCCTCTTAAGAATTTTCGGTTTCTCCAGACATCCCCGACTAACACGTGTTTGTTCGACCACACCCTAGCTCTGTCACGTGTCAAAATGACGTCATTAAGGGGTGGAAAGTCATCGCTCGGTTCAATTAAGGTGAAATGTTGAAGGTGACTCGACCATTTGTCACGCGGAGCAACTCAAATTTAGAAAGTTTTTATCGATTCGATAGCCCAGATACTTAAATTACCTAGTTTAGAGATTCGGAAAATATATATATTTATCTAAGTAAAAAACTAAAAAAAAATAAACAAATAATCTCAGTTTATATTATTACCTCCAACTCATCCCAATGCGAAATCTATAAAAGGACTTGCATCTAAATCGCTCGAAGAAAGGTGGTAAATGGTAATGGATGGGATGCTTAAAAACTCAAAACTGTTGTTAAGAAAGACGAGGAGTGGGTTCAATATTTAGAAATGTATATCTTTCGTGTCAGCTTCAATATATCCCCGTGTACGTGTATACCTAGTGTAGAACGACGTCGTTAGAGAGAGAACTGTTATCCAAGTGTCACTCAACTTGATATTGGATCCGAGATTTTATGGTCGGTCAATGAACGAGGAGTGTAAGAAAGAGGGGAAGGAACTTAAGAAATCTTTGTTATACTACGAAACTCAAGAGCTATGAATATTCATTAGAAGATACTTTCATCCAAAATGAATATTTATACATTCTCTTTCTCACTTCATTCTTCTTTCTTTACTTATTATTTTTAAGTTCAAGAATCTTTAAATGTGTTGCTTTCGAACTGTTGAATCTGTATTTAAGTCTTGTTTTTACAGGTGGATGTGAAAACAAACACTGCGAATTCTATGCAGTTTGTGAGAGTGGAGGTCATGGAGAAGCCAAGTGTGTTTGTCCTCATTCGTGCATAAAGGTAACGTCTATTAAACTGATCATTAATTCTTTAAAAAAGAGCAGGAGTTTACGTGCATCTGAAGCTAGAAAAAGTGGATTTTTTTAAGAGAAACAATATATATATATATAAGAAAGAGCAACAGACTCATACCAATAATTATAGCAATAAGAAAATAAAGAAGTGGAGAAATGATAGCTATTTCTCCAAAATAGGCTATTTTTGAAGGAAGGTAAAGAGGCTATCAAGAATATAGAGTTATCCATCTCAGAGACAGATTGCTCTACTATTAGTAATGTGGATATCGATCAAAAAAATATACAATATTCCGCTGTTTTTTACCTTAAAAAATATAAAATTACCAAAAATATCGTCAAAGTAATTATCGATTTAAAACGAATTTTTTAAAATTTCTACAATATTTTATATGGGGGGAAAAATGAGAATTTTCTCCAGCAATTGTATAAAAATACCTTGATAAAATAATAAGATTCTTTTCTTATGCACGGTTTAATATAACGAGATCATTTGAATCCTATTAAATATATAAAATTGTTAAGAAAGATTCAGTTAGAGTAGTTGAATCGAACGAAAAATACCTTATTCAAGTATAAGATAATTAAATTTATTCATGCGTGTGTAGAATCGAATCCCAATAGGATCCTCTCCTCATTTTTAATATATGCTAGAGAAGTTGTGGAGCGCATCCCTGAAAGTTAGCATCTTAGAATAAAGGTAAAGATCGTAATTTTAAAGTTCAAAATTTTAAATTTACAGATGTAGAAAAAAGGAGTTAAGTTTACGAGTGAATTCAAATAAAGATTGTTCTTCTTGTTTACTTATCATTTTTTTCTTCTTTAACCAATGCAAATAGAGAACTAAGAAATAAATAAAAACCAAAAAGCCATTAAATTAAATTAAGGTTAATGAATATTAGTAATAATTTGAAATTCTTCTTTGAAAACTCTTTCTTAAATTATTTTTAGCGTTAAAATTTTATTGTCAAGAAGTTTTATCAGTATTGAAAGTTGTATTTTTTAAAAAAATTTTCAACGTCAAAATGCGCCCTCCTAAATATTATAACATCAAAATTTTACCTTACAAAATTTTTTCAACGTTCCTACGATCTGTAGGAATTTTTCCAATGTAAAAATTTATTTTCCTAAATTTTATTATATTAAAATTTTACTTTCCTGAACTTTCCAACATTAAAATTTACTCACCTAAATTTTTCCAACGTTAAAATTTGCTCGAGTTAATAGAGTTAAAATTTGCTCTCCTGGATTTTTTTAACGTTAAAAATGATCTTCCTGAATTTTATCACATTAAAATTTTACTTTTTTTGAAGTTTTCAACATTAAAATTCTTTTCCACTTTGCAAATTTTCCAACCTGATAAATATTACGAAAGATCAAAAGCACCTTTCCGCTTAATCAAACGTCAATTTTTCATTACTTAATTTAAATATTTTTTTACACACGAAATGAAAAGAATATAAAAAAAGTAAAAATAAATAAATGCATTCGATTAAATTTTAAATTATCCTATTGACATTTCTTAAATCCAACACAACCGCACTTCAAAATATCGTGTTATATATATATACTGTATATAGTAAATATACAAAAAACATATTTTAAAAGACAATATTTGTAGTTTCTGTTGCATTTAAACAGGAAATACACACCAAAGATGCCTAGGAGATATATAAAGATAGATATAAGATCTCCCAATATGCCAATACTGACATATTCAAAGAATATTTTGTGCTTTACTGGATTTTCTACTGTCTCTTCTATATCCTAGACAAAATTGAACTTAGAAAAAATGACTTTGTGAACAATTTTAAAGGGGATTTATATTATTTTCTAAATTAAGAAATAAGATACATTGAAGAAAGTGCATTTTTTTCTTAAAGATTTCTAACTAGTTCACTATATAAATCATCCCTGGATGTGTAATTTCCTTACTTTTCTAGATCAAAGAAATGTTTCATTTTCTTGAAGGTGATTTTTCACAGTAAAATACTTTCTCCTAATAATAATTCTTGGCATACTTAGCATCATAATTGGTTTCGTTCTAAGTCGATCCTTTGCTTAATATCGTTGCGTAAGTAAAGAGTCACGGAATAAATTTGCAATTTGAGTAAAAAATCAATCATAGAAAGCAACAGAAACAGGAAAAATCTTTTAGAACAGGAAATTATACGTCTTAAGCCAACTTAACGAAAGAGATCAATAGAGATTCTTTTTTATTTATGTTGTATACTTAAAACTTATTCTATTTAACCAATACAAACAAAAGAAAAATTTTAAATTAAAAAAAAAAAGGAGGAGGAGGGTAGATTCTCCATTAAATCAAATTAAAATTAATGAATTTTAATAAAAATAAGAATATTTTGTTCTTTTCTCGTGAACTTTTTGAAGTTTTTAAAAAAAATAAATTTATTTTTCTAAATTTTTCAACTGCAAAAACTCTACCTTTTGTGATTTTTTTTTCGATTCAAAATTTTTATATTTTGTCAATTTTTTCAACGTTTGAATTTTATTTGTAAAAATCTTATTTTTCAACATCAAATTTACCTTTTATAAATTTTTCTAGCGTCGAAATTTTTAAAAATATTTTATAAATTTTATTTTTGCAAGTTTTTCCCACATCAAAAATTTGCATTTTCTAATTTTTCCAACATCAAAATCTTATCTTTATAAAATTTATCTTCTCCTTTTTATAATAGAAAATTCGAATTTTTAAATTTTTTCAAAGTAAAAATTCCATCTTTTACAAATTTTATTTTCGTAAAATTTTCCAACATCAAAATTAATAATATATTTTTTTTTCAGATTTTTTCAACTTTAAAATTGTATTCTTGCAAACTTTTCTAGGGTCAAAATTCTATTTTTATGAATTAAATTTTTTTTGTAAATTTTCCTACAAAAGTGATGCTGATAAAGAAAAACTTTTCCAGCATCACTTCTTCATCTCCAACATCAATTTTTCATTTATTTAATTCAAGTTTTCTATCATCTTAAATGAAAATAATGGAGGGGAAAAAACACATTACACTCGATTAAATTTTTAAAAAAATTCCAAAGTTTTAATCATTTCATACTTAAATAAATTATGTAGATAGGTGTATAACATACAAAGCATACGTAATTAATACTTTTGAAAAGTAATTATTTAAACTTAATTTATTATAAGCCATAGTAACAACATCAAGCGATTAAGAACATTGGCATTTGTAATGAAAGCATTGGAGTGATGTAGAGGAAATAGCTTTTACTATATTTAACTCCGCTTTCATTTAAACGTATAATTATATATTGTAGTGGAATATAAATTACCTTGTAGTAAATGTACGTGAAAATAGGGGTTTTTTAGATTCTAGAATATAAAATTTTAGGTTTTTTTTTTAGATGTAAATATACAGTTGGATGTACTGATTTAGCTTTCACTCCATATTCTTCCTTCCAGCTAAAACTTTTACTAAATCGCATATAGAATATAAATTGAATTATGTTTGAAGGGAATTTTAAACTAGAGTTTTTTATTTTAATTATACTTTTTGGTTTTCTGAAGTTAAGAATTTATGAATCTATCGATTTTATTTGAAGTTACACGCGTTTTCATTAGTTTAATGCAATTGTTTCGTGTAGAAATCAGGTTTATTTCGCTTGGAAATAAGAATATTTTTATGTATTTTTGGTAAAACTTAATGTTTCAGGTAGAATCACACGTCTGTGGAACTGATGGTGTTACTTACAATAGTGAATGCGAAATGAGGGTTTCTGCTTGCAAAAAGAAACAATATGTCATGGTAGCTTCCAAGGGAATTTGCGGTAAAAATCGTTATTTTAGTTAATTTTTAATTACAAAATATTATTAAAATTTTTATAAAAATATCTCTTCTACGTCTAGACTGTTTCTCGTATCACCAGATGATGCTACTCGTTAATTAAGTTATTTAAAAATATTCTAACGAGAGTTGACTTATAATTAACTTTAAGCGTTAATAAAATTATTTATAATCGATTAATTTTCGTATAAATAAAACATTTATCTATAATATTTATAATAATTTTTAAAAAAAATTATCGTTTTATTAAATAAAGATTCATAATTTATGATATTTATTAATTTGTTTAAATGCTTCTAAATTGATTTAATCTTAGAAAATTATATTAAATTTTTAACGCTAAAATGTCGATTTATTAATGTAAAATGTTTTAAAATATTTTTAAAAATTTGATATATTTTAAGCATTTTTCTCTACTTAGACTTATGTTTAAATGTCCATTGTAAATACGGTGCCAGATGCGAAAATGGTCACTGCATATGTCCTACTGAATGTCCAAATTCCTACGAACCAGTCTGTGCCAACGATAGCACCACATACAACAACGAATGCGAAATGAAACGTGCATCTTGCCAAATAACTCAGGAACTCACTGCCCTATTCTATGGAGAATGCGAAGATGCTAGAGAAACGGATGTAGACAGTAAGAATTACTCCATATAACTTATTGAATTATAGCTTCACGTAGAAATAAATCTTAAAATTTTACAGTTTTAGGTCCTTCTAGCCAGAAATGTGATAAGGTTTGTCAGTTTGGAGGACTATGCGATTACGATTCGGATGGTCTGCCGTACTGTGCTTGTCATTTCCAATGCCCTTCTTTGAGAGAACCTATCTGTGGTTCTGATGGAAGATTGTATGACAACGACTGTAAACTAAGAGAGGAAGCGTGTAGACAACAGCACAAGATAATCCTTGTTTCGTTAGAAAAATGCGGAGGTAAGAATTTCGGCGATGTTCGTGTGACAAGATCTTTTTTTTGTGAGATTCGTTGACAATAGGTGTGCTTTTGCCATGTACTGTGTCAAGGTGACCACAAGGAATATTGTATCTGTGCAGACGTCTTGACTGTGCCTTGCGAAGGAGAACCTCCTCTTCTTGATCCTCTAACTGGTAAAGAGTATTACTGTGGAGACGGTCCTGGCGGGAAAAGATGTCCTCCTAATAGTTTTTGTCACAAATCAGCAAATTTCGCGACCTGCTGCAGGGAAAGTAAATATAAATGTTTAATTTTTAAAAAATTCACATAATTAGAGTAAATATTAAAAATTAACGAAAGAAAATTTGTTTTTTAAAATCATATTTTAGCTATAAATTTATTTATTTTCAGTAATTTCGATAGAAAATTGTGCAGAAACGACTTACGGCTGTTGTCCTGATGGAAAAACTATAGCTCAGGGTGTTCAAAATGCTGGTTGTCCTAGTAAGTTCGCTTGTAGATGATAGAAACTTAATTACAAGTCTATTTTAAGAGGAAAAGATAATAATTACAATAATCGTTAATCATAGTTTAGTATATAAATCATAAATCATATACTGTGTATGATTTATGATTATGATATATAATTAACAAGTAGCCATAAATTATATATCACAAATCATAAATTTTATTTGTATAATTTATGTCGTATCCATTTAACACATATATGTAACTGTAATATAGACTAAACTTTATTTTTAGCGTCAGAGACGTTAGTAACATTTCAGATGTAAGGATATCGGCTTCTCCTCCTAACAGTGGTTCGAAAGGAGAAGCAACATTTACAGGGGAAACGGCACGTCTTTAACATTTAGAAGCAATCTAGAAAATTAATTTCTTAATAATTTAATAATGTAGCAATTAGTATTGAAGAATCTTTCTACCACGTTTAATAAATAACCACTAGAGACGAGATATAGAGAAGAATCAATCAATCGATTGCCGTATACAAAGAAAATGTAAATTGTTCTGGTTCCGTCAGAAATATTGATAAAAATTCGAAATTTAATAAAATATAAATCCTTGATATTTCCTAATATTAAACATAAGATTTACAGTTAAAATTTTATTTGATAAAATACTTATTATTCTTGATTAAGTTAATGTAAAAAGTCTTCCTTTCCTTATTAAAAAATGCAAGTTCTGTCAGTTAACAAATATAGTCAATTTTGATTAATTATAAAAGTAATTATCTTCAGCTTCTTATTCTTCTACATTCAAAAGAAAAGCCGCGAGTTTAATATTAATATTTTATATTATCTTCACAACAGGTGTTTTGACTTTTTTTCCTTAAAAAAAATTCGTTCGCTGCATCTAACAAAACCAGGTTTTGATAATAATCTTTATTCTCAAATCACAGCAGAAGTCTCCAAAGGAAAAAAAATATAGTTAAAGAGAAGCTAGAATTATTTATTTTAAGCTGCAACTTAACTTATTTTTTTAAATAATAAATCATCGTTTTTTAAAGATTTTCTAATTTAGTTGATAGAAAAATTAATTTTTTTTTACTCATTAAATCGTAGAAGGGAATGGTTAATACTTAACTATAATTAATTTTATGAGTTTCATTACAGATATCATATACATTAAAGTAGTTTAGCCAATAAAACGATTAATAACGTAGAAGACTCCTTGATCGATTAATATCCGAATGGATTTCTACCATGGAATGTCACGTATTTGACAAAATAAGAATATGGCAAATATTGATTCAGTTGTTAGCAGTAAGAAAATTTTAAATTTAAATTTGCAGATGACAGTTATGTTAATCTTATAAAATCGAGAGTAGATATTAAAATTATTATCCTAAATCTAAAATTAAACTAAGGTTCTTCGACTGTTTAAAAATATTAAAAAATACATTTGTGGATTAAACTTTTGTTTAAAAATATATATTGATTAAACATTCTCCTAACCATAAACTAGAGAATATAATTAAAATATGGAGGAGGGAAAGTAATAAAAAGATGTCTGTTCAGTTACTTTTCCAATAACCAATATTGATCGAAAGGAATGCCGGAACTCTTGTAACTTGTTTCTGATTAATCAAACAATTCTTAATCTAAATCAATACAATTCTTTTTATAATCAATGATCGTTGTAAGAAAATAAAAAAATTTTTTTCATGATTCAAGTAATAAAATTAAGATATTTATATCCTAGATAATTATTGATCTAATCATTTTAGGTATATGTAATTGCAACAGGCTGGGTTCTTATGATCAAAGTTGTGATCCTGTAACTAAACAATGCCCTTGCAAACCAGGAGTGGGTGGTCTTCGTTGTGATAGATGCGAGCCTGGATTTTGGGGTCTTCATAAGATTGCAGAAGGAAGCACAGGATGCATTCGTGAGTTGGAGATTCTTCTTTTATCACTTATTAGAAAAATAGCAAGAAAAAATGTAATTCATCTCGCGTGTCACGACACGACATCTAATTACAATCTTCTCCGAACTTGCTTTTTTTCCTCTGTATCCTCCTCCTTTTTGTGAATTTATTTTTCGAGTAGTCTTGATTAATAAAACCAAAGACATCTTAATTTTATGTTTTGTATTTACAAAAACTGTATAAATGATAATTAATACCGTCTTACAACAATAATTTTAAAATATAAGCTCGTATAGTAATTAAACTGAATTATAACGTTATTAGTGTCAACGACTCTTATTAATCTTTCTTTAATTAAGAATTTATGATTGGATAACATTAAATATTATTCAAAACTTCAAATAATACTAATTAATGAATAATTATCGTTACGTAGTCGTTTAGCTTTATATAGTTGATGGATAATTTGGGGTTGGAAGCTGGAATGAAGGAATAAACGATACATATAAAATACATATAAATGCATCACTCCTCCGGCATCCTCATCATCTCGAAAACACGATTGTAAATTTAAATTCAAATTTGTGATGTAAATAATAGATAAGTAACAAATTAAACGAATCGTTACGTTGAAAATACGTTGAAAAAATTTACTTATCGATCTATAAATGGGATCAATAGTAAATGCATCATTCGAATAGGAATCATAGGTTAGTTTAGTTTTTATCTGTCATTTTCTCTAATGTTCTTTCATCTGCCATACAAACGAGACTTTCTATTAGATTCTCGTTAGCAGGCGGTTTCATCCCCCTTAATTCCAACTAAATTATACTTTGTAATTAGTGCAACCATCTTTAATTTTCATTCGATTTTTTAATTGTATATTTTTTAAATTCTTTTTTGATAGCTTGCGAGTGCAGCCTCGATGGATCTGTCAGAGACGACTGCGAACAGATGACAGGAAGGTGTGTCTGTAAACACGGTATACAAGGCATGAAGTGTGACGTGTGTCCATTTAAAGAAACAGTACTAGGTCCCGAAGGATGTTCGGATGGTATAGTGATAACGACTTTCTTACTATTATAAAAATAACTATTGTCTAGTACAATATATAAGGATTCGTAAAGTATTTTTATATATTTCGCTTGAAATCCAATTTTGAGATTATGGTTTCAACTTTATATAAATATATATATATAAAGTTGTATGTAAGATGAGAAAAGAAGATTTTGCCATCTCTCCTTAAGTAACTGCATCATAAAATTTTCAATTTAAAAAAAGTACAGAAAAAAAGGTCCAAATTGATACATTCCTTTAAAAAAATGTGTATAAAGTGTGAATAAATTTACATAAAAATTCAAAAAATACGCATTTATATTTAACATTAAACTTTTGATACTTATATACTTTAAACATATTTTCAAAAAATACCAAAAGAAGAAAAATTGAAGCCAGTTTTTGACTTCTAAAAAAAACCATCTGCAGAGGAAGAAGTTAGATTATTTTTCCTTAGAAATATATATAAATTCAAATCGATATTGTTACTTTTGTGTTTTTTTTCTCTTCCTTTCTTTCCAGCATCGGTAGCAGGACCAGTCACGGGTTCGTGCGCCCAATTGAAATGCTCTCATGGGGCTACTTGTAGAGAAAAAGGAAACAGAGCCCAATGCTTCTGCAATTTCAAATGTACAGCCGAAGATAATCGTAGTCCCGTTTGTGGTTCTGATGGAAGTACCTATGGGTCTGAATGCCAATTGAAATTATTCAGTTGTAGATACCAGAAACCTATTACAGTCAAGAACTTTGGTCCTTGTCATTCAGGTACTGTAAATCATAAACAATATTAATGGTACCTTTTACTTTAAATTAATTTTTTTATT